GCTGCAGGCATCATCCTGGTATAAATCACTAAGGGTCCAGCGATGTACCAGTACATTTTCTGGTACTTGTTGGGGGCATATGTATTCTGCTTTTTTTTTTTTTTTTTTTTTTTTTTTTTTTTCATGAGTGTTATCACTGAAATGCATGAAGCACATTACCATCTCATATCCATGCTTCACCATGGCAGCAGAGAACATGGGCATATGATGAATCTGGTCTATGGACTAATATGACCGCAATTCATTCTTTTTTGTAATGCCCATGTTAAGTGTTAGGTCCAAAAAAGTTTTACATTCGGAAACCGTGATAGGTTTCCATGCAAATTGTCTGGCAAGAGCTGAATTTGGGTGGGCGGCGAACTATTGTTGTGCGTATAAATTGCCTTGGCTCACAATCGGTTGATACAAATCCTCTGTGAAACAGCAGAGGAGCTAAACGTTAGTGCTGACAGCGAACGGGGCTGATCCTGCTAACACGTTTTTGAGAACACTATAGTTAGGGGGCACTAGTATAGTTCTGTGTTCATGATCAACATATTGATCCGTACAAGCACTATACTAGTAATGGCGGTGATCAGCAACCTATAATATGAGTGCGGGAAATTTAACGCTAGCTGGGAGGGGTGGTAACTGACCCCGAAGCTATCTGATGTTGCTAGTTGCAGTAATACAGTGATCAGTGAATCAATTCTATACACTGACACTGCAATAATGGCACTGGCTGGGTAATCAAAGGGTTAATGGGGGGGGGGGGGGAAGGGGGATCAAAGGGTTAAATGTTCTAATCCAACGTGTGTGTAAAATGTAGTGTTTTCTCTTCTCTCCCTGTACCGACTACCATAGTAACATTGTACTACTCGGGCGTGTGGTGGGGGGAGGGGGGCATGGGAATCGGGAAGTCACATGGTACCAAGTACTGTGATTGGCCCATGTACAATGTGAGAGCTATGGGCTAATCACAGCTTACTAGGAAGGGTAGAAAAGCTGTTATAAATCATATTGATTGCTGTGTGATCCCATGATTACCTGGATCCGCATTCCGCTGTTTCTGGTTGTCTGGTCAACACTGTGTTAGCAAACATCTTTACTTCTTAATGGTGGTTTAATTGGTTTACCTTACATACCTTAGTTGAGCTAAACGAGAAGCATGTTTTAAATAATTTAGCTAGCTGCTATCAAATGAATGTAACCATGCCTCTAAATGTATTTGTCACGCGAGCAATACATGGTAAACAGATTTTGCGAATATATAGTGGAGCCTTGTTTCCTTCATAAAGTGTGTCTTTTGACAGCTTTTACATTCAAAGTTCCATTTATCCTAAGGGGTTTTTATTTTCTTTTAATTCTTTATACAAAAGTTTCAACATGACTGGGTAGAAAGTCCAAATTTACCTACTTGGTACAGGCATATAAGCACATAGGAGGCCAAACACATAAATATTCCTGTTCGAGCAGACAGCATCAGAAAATAAGATATTCCCATTTTTCCTCAATGTTTAACCAGTTCCCAACCGTGCTATAGCCGAAGGACGGCTACAGCACGGTTGTGTAGTTCTGGGACGACGTCCGTGGACGTCATTCCAGAACACGCCCCCAGCGGCGTGCACTCGGCACCGTTGGTGATCGCTGTGTCCTACAGACACAGCTGATCACTTGATACAGTAAACGGCCAATCACGGCTTCCTTTTACCACGTGATCAGCTGTGTCCAATGACATAGCAGATCACCGGGTAAATACAGTTGCCGGTTATCGGCTGTAAACATTGTCCAATAGAACCATGTGTGCCTGAACCTTTCATTCATACTCTGACGGCTGGATCAAAAGTTTATATCTGGCCAAGACCTATGGGAGGACAGTCTGGAGGCTGAAAACATTTTTTAATTTTGGATAGAGTAAGGGAGGGTTATAACCCCTGTCAGTTTATTGTTTGCCATCTGTGTCCCATTGAGGAGATTTTCCTTCATTTCCTGTCCCTTAGCCAAAACAGGAAGTGAGAGATAAACCCATAAATTAAGGCAATTCCTTGAGGACCCCCAGGTCACTAGAACTAGTGTCCATATTGGAAGATTTCCTCTCAATTACTTTTCTGGGGACGACCTAAAATTTGGGGTTTTTCGTTACTTTAACTTTCAATGATAATGGTGAACCGGACAAATAGAGTGGGTAAATCTCCCTAATGGGGGCACAGACCTGTCTGTCCAAGACTAAAAAAAAAACCAAAACAATTGTCTTTAGTTATACTTTTAAAAACATACAGTGACAGCAGAAAAAAATACCAAGTGGTCCATTGAGTCTGAACCCTTTTTATTTATTTTTTTAATTTATGCATGGTTTTTTGTGTGGTTTTTTTTTTTTTTTTTTTTTTTTTTTTTTGTCTTTTTTGGAGTATAGTTTTATGTTTGTCCCAAGCATGTTTGAATCCACTTACTGTTGACTGACTCACTACCTCTGCTGGAAGTCCATTCCAAGCATCAAATACTCTTTTGGTAAAATAATACTTTCTAACATTTTAGTTTTGAACTTTCCTCCTGTTAGTTTGCAGTCATGTCCCTGTGCTCTTTATCATTGCTTCTTATTGAAAATACTGCCCTCTTGAACCTTATTTACATGTTTAACCACTTACATACTGGGCACTTATACCCCCTTTTCGCCCAGGCCAGTTTTCAGCTTTCAGCGCTGTCGCACTTTGAAAGACAATTGCGCGGTCATGCAGCTTTGGACCCATGTTCCATTTTTATAATTTTTTTGCACACAAATAGAGCTGTCTTTTGGTGGTATTTAATTGCCACTGGGGGTTTTATTTTTTGTGCTATAAACAAAAAAAGAGCAAAAAAAAGTGAAAAAAAGTTTTCTTTGTTTCTATTATAAAATTTTGCAGACAGGTAATTTTTCTCCTTCACTGATGTGCGTTGATGAGGCTACACTGATAGGCAGCACTGATGAGGTGGCACAGATAGGCAGCACTGATGAGGAGGCAGTGCTGGGTACTGATGTCGCTGACGGGTGGGACTGCTGGGTGGCACTGCAGGGCACTGTTGATCAGTGCCCTGATGATCAGTGGCGATCTCCTCTGTGACAGCTGCTGGTTATCAGCAGTACTTTCCTCACGCCATGACAGTATGAGGAAAGTGCTGCCGATAACTGGCAACTGTATTTACTCCGTCATCTAATGTGTCATTGGACACAGCTGATCACGTGGTTGGCCTTTTACCTCAAGTGATCAGCTGTGTCCATATGACTCAGTGATCACAGAGATGGCGGGTGCACACCCCTGGGGGCATGCAGGAGGGCTTGTTTCTGGGAGGACATCATATGATGACCAAAATTTCTGTGCCTTAAGCGTATCGACCTTTGGCCGATATGAAAGTAGGCACCGATACAGATGTGGAAAATAACCCTGCCCTCACTGTCTGCCGCCGCCTGGGGGTTCTCAGCCTTACTTGAGAACCCATCTAATGATCCCGCCGCTGGGCATAGAGGAAAGATGACCTCCACTCATCTCTTTAGCCTTGGAGGACCGGAGCGACATCATTTTATGTCACTTCCAGTTCTGGCAGCTTGTAAACAAGGCCATTTTTTTTTTTTTTTTTTTTTTTTTTTTAAGGCACTAGAGTAGATCAGTGCTTTTTATTTAAAATCTAATGCTTTACATTGTAGAGGAGAGATGGGGCCTTATTGACCCCATATCTCTCCATAAAGAGGACCTGTCACTACTTATTTCTATCAAAAGTGATGTTTGCTTTTCTTTGTGATAGGAATAAAAATAATTTAAAAAAGAATTAAAGCGACAGTGTTAAAAAAAAAAAATAAAAGTAATAAAAAAAAAATGTTTAACGTGCCCCTGGCCCCTTATACTCACGTGCAGTGGTGAACGCATACGTAGGCCACACCCACATATGTAAGCGGTGTTCAGACCACGCATGTGAGGTATCGCTGTGGACGTCAGAGTAAGAGCAATAATTCTAGCACCAGGCCTCCTCTGTAACTTTAAACTGCTAACCTGTAGAAAATTTTAAAGCGTCACCCATGGAGATTTTTAAGTACCGTAGTTTGAGGCCATTCCACGAGCATGCGCAATTTTAAAGCATGACATGTTGGGTATGTATTTACTCAGCTTAACATCATCTTTCATGTTTTACAAAGAAAATTTTATTCATTGTGTTTTTTTTTTTTTATTCATTAAAGTGTATTTTTTTTACAAAAAAATTGCTTTAAAAAATATATACATTTTTAAAAACTATCCATTTTGGTTTCAGTTTTCGGCCAAGTGCATCCTGAAGTTTCGGTTTCGGCACCAGATTTTTCATTTCGATGCACCACTATTATTTTGTAATCATCTGAAATACAACCCTGATTCCAAAATAGTTGGGACGCTGTGTAAAATCTACATAAAAATGTAATGGTATGCAAATCTCATAAACCCATATTTTCTTCACACTAGAAAATAGGAAACATATCAAATGTTTAAGCATTTTAAAGTATAACTAAAGGCAAAACTTTTCTTTACAGTTTTGGATAGCAAGGAGAGCAATTAGAACTCCTGTCAGTTTTTATTGCTCTCTGTGCATCCTCTCTATTTTTCCTGCTTACCATTATCATTGAAAGTGAAAGTAAAAAAATATATATTTTGGGTTGTCCCCAGAAAAGTAATAGAGGGGATATCTTCCAATGGAGACACTACTTCTGGTAACCAGGGGGTCCCCAATTGATTCCCTTAATTTGCAGGGATTTTCTCTCACTTCCTGTTTGGCTATGGGACATGATGGGAAAAAAAAAAAGTTTTGCCTATACAGTAGTTCTACTTTAGGACCACCCACAGTACTTTTACTGTGGGCAGGTAGCACAGCCAGGCTCAGCAATGCACATATACAACAAAATAATAATACATGTAAAACTATGCAAAGAACATAAAGCAAATTTCATTTGCAATCATATACATAAACGGATAAACATGACCAAAAAACTGATAAAGTGACCACAAATAATAATTATGTGCCAGTCCCTAAATTGTAGTCCTCAATCTTCCTCTTACAACTATCTCCACAATACTAGTAGTGAATGATGAGATACATGTGTATAATGTGCGAGCTCCTGAGAAATGTGCATAAGCAAATTTGGGTACCTGCCCCCCCCCCCTTCCGCTCCCCAAAGGTCCTGTACTGTGTCCGCAGTCTCTGGTCATCTCCTGTACTGTGTCCGCAGTCTCTGGTCATCTCCTGTACTGTGTCCGCAGTCTCTGGTCATCTCCTGTACTGTGTCCGCAGTCTCTGGTCATCTCCTGTACTGTGTCCGCAGTCTCTGGTCATCTCCTGTACTGTGTCCGCAGTCTCTGGTCATCTCCTGTATTGTGTCTGAGATAAGCAGAGACTGCGGACCTTTGGGGAGCGAAAGGGGGGGAACGGGTACCCGAATTATAGTGTCCCATTAGAAAATGTTGATTCTAAAAGTAAAGTAAAGGTTTTCTGACAAATCTGTTGGTGTGTACTCATTTATGCTGACCACTGTAAATACCCCACCCTGTGTGTAGCTAAATAAATAAATGATATGTAACACCTCATGTTGCTACAGAAAGAATTTTCTTTTCTTTCCAGGTCACAGCTCATGTTTGTTTTCAATTACATTTCTCGCACGATTCTTCCATCATTGATTAGAAATTAGTTTGTTTTTCAGAAAATTTCCAACATGCCTGGTCACTCAAATTCAGTGATCGCTCAAAAATCTTCCATTGCTGTGGCCCACTAGCCGTGCGAAATTCAAATGAAAATTCTTAGTAAATATTTTAGAAAGAAAATTATTTCGGAATTCGAACCATGCATGGCAGACTTTATATTCCTATTTGTTTTTGTTGCCTTGTCCCAACTTTTTGAGACTTGTTGCCATCTATTTGAAAACCTCAAAATAAATGCTTACGCAAAACAGACGAAGCACGTTTTTGATGCTTTCTTGTTAGTCAAATGACTAAAAGCACCCTGAACATGGGTATCTCTGTAAAATCATACGTTTTTGGTGGCCACTATCGGCACCTTTTCTCCTCTCTTAACACTATTTTCGGCCAATACATTTTGGCCATCGATATTTCAGTGCATCCCTAAGCAAAAATTGCCCTTTTGAAATGTACTACTTTTGTTTTTGTATATGATTTTTTAGTTCTTATCTTAATATTAAATAAAACATTGGTGATGAGTAGAACCCAAATTTTCTCCGACCTGAACATTTCTCTGGGACCTCCTTCCTATGCAAAGAAGGGTTGCCATTCTCAAAAGCAGATAAGTTTGCAATCTTTTTATCTGCTTTTAGCTCATTGCACTATATAAGGGTTATGCAGTGTCACACCAAAAGCTACATGTTAATGGTCCACAGACCTCACTCTTCCCGACCTTGCAGTTGTCAACATTGTCCTTCTCCTGTGCAGTCTTTGAGGAAGAGGTGGCTTTTTTTTGCAAGGCAGCTTAATAGAGTAAATTGGCTTTGACAGCCTCCTCATCTCAGACTGAACGGCACAAACCAAGGAATCTAGACAAGCAATGTAACCAAGTTGACTAGAAATCTACATTCAAGTGGGACAGCAACCCAGCTTGCATAAGGTGCCATGAAAAAGAAACGCCATGCAAGTATTGCACTGAACAAAACACATTTTAAAAATATATTTTAAACTCAAATACAGGTACTAACCAAAGATAAATCCAAGTAAAACACTTACCTACGCTTAGATGAGGTACTCTGGTCTTGCATGCATTTCTTCCTATGCTTCCATCTTGGCTTGCATGGACATTGCTACATTTTGCTGCCCTCTCAAGACTGGGGGTGTAACAGCGTATACCCAGAGATGGACATGGTTCAACCATTTTGGCTTCAACCTCCATCTTGGCAAAGGGATACACCATCCTGACAAAATATATTTCTCCCTCATTCTTCCCCCCTCCCTCCTTAGAGAGGCTCAGCTACATTTGGCCAGTATGTGTGAGTTGGGAATGTCACAGGAGGGTCTGAGGAGCTATGAATTCCCCCAAGGGAGCTGGGGCCTCCCTGTCCAAAGAACCTGCAAATTGTAACACCTCAAAAGAGATAAGGCAAGCTTTCCCAGGAGTTGAAAGAGATTCCAACCTAATAAACCTAACTCAGTGTATGTGACAGAATCAGATAAACACTTTTCAAAATCCATTTCTCCCCTATGTCTCATATCTTTGAATATGAGAGACTTACATATAAACTGGACCTACCGTCAGATTGGCCACGAGAAGGCGAACAGTTTGATAGGTCACTTGCATTGTCTCGGATACATAGGAAAACAGAAAAGTAGATCTCGTGAACCGTACAGTGTATAATTTCATAATTCATATCTAATCAATCCTCAGACGTGTCTGCATCATAATCTACCCGTGGGTGGAATTTCACTTGTGCAGCTGGAAAGTTATGGGCCAAAATATGAGTTACAGGAGATTTTGGCTCTAGTTGAGGTATCCACCCATACCTACACGCCCTAAATAGGGCATTGGTCCTTGACTTCAGAGACACATCCTGCTGGGGAATACAAAATAGGCTGTCAGGCCTAAGAGTGTGAGTTGAAGATGTCTCCCATTTTAACATCAATACCATCTGGGGAGACCCGTGCCCGTTTGCTCTGAAACTTGGATCTGCTAACCCAGGACTTTGGCAAGTACCTTAACCCTTTCACCTCTCTCTGATATCTCTTTGCTGTGCTGTTGGTCTCTGTATGTGTGTGTATGTATATGTATATGTGTGTGTATGTGTGTATGTATGTATGTATATATATGTGTATATATATATATATATATATATATATATATATATATATAATCTTCGTTACCTCTTTTCTGTAAATATTTTTATTGCACCCATTTGACCTTTTAGTAATCTTTCCTTCTAAAAGTGTTGAACTGTTTCTATAGTGCTTTATTGCAATTTACAAATTCTTGCCTCTAAAGAGATTGCTACTGTGTTTGTTTAACCCTCTGTATAACCGTGTTATGCAGACGATTACCTCAACCAATATAGTGTTATTGCTGAGATTGCCGAGTTTCCTCTTTCTCTGTACAAAAAGGAGGTGGTGGCAGTGTGAAGGGTTAATTGCGTAATTAACCTGACCCAGTAACAATCGCTCAGGCTGCCGGTACACTGATTCTGGTCCAATTAGCTGGAAAATCGTTGTGCAAGGTGCAGCTGGGTGTGGCATTGTTACGCACGTGACATCGCGGTTTTAGATCGACTAGTCCTTCGGTCACTAGTTCGATGAGAAGGTCTGGGGTCTGACGCCATGATCATGACATGGGGTAGTCTAGAAAAAATGTAAAAGAATAATAGGCAGGGATGTTTGATTCCTATCGCCCAGGACACGTAGTTCTGGGCGCCAGGCAGGTAGTTTTTTCTCTTCCTTTAGCCCTGCTGCGGGCAAGCAGCAGGCTCACCTTTCAGGAGAAGCAATTGGCTGCAGCTTTGATTGCTTTCACACAGTGCTAGCCTCTCCTCTCCCCAAGCGTGAGGTTTCCCGGGCTCCGCTTACCCATCTGCGGGCCCGACTCTCCATCGGCTAAAGATGAGGGAGAAATCCTCTCCCTTTCTTGTGCTGACCTGGAAGTGACGTTACGATGTCACTTACGGGTCCCTGTTGATAGATTGTAATGCAATCCCTGGGAATGAATGTAATATGATGCAGATGTACACCACATTATTCAGTGGAGCAGAGGGGAGACATGCAGGGTCACCCCCACATATACACACGTATAAACGCAAAAGCACACGCTGGGGCGTCTACGCATGAAAGTGTCAATTGCGAAATACGTCACATATCACTGCTCACACCAGAATGAGAGCAATAGCTTTTAGCTACAGAACCCCTCAGTAACGCTGAACTGGTGACCTATAAAGAGCTTTAAAAGTGTTGACCTATAGAAAATATAGGGTACTGAAGTTTGTTGCCATTTCACTGCACACAAATTTAAGGTTTTACAAGTTGGATATCTATTTACTCGCAACCTCATCTTTTATATTTTACAAAAAAATAGGGTAATTTATTGCTTTTTTGTGCCCTAAAATTAACTTACTTGTATTTCTTACTAAAATTTTGCAGTAAAATTATGCAACATAAAAAAATTGGAACTACCGCTGTTTTATTTTCTAGGGTCTCTTTCAGAATATATATCATGTTTTGTGTAATTTTCGGGCCTAAAATTATTTTTTTAAATGTGTGCAAAAAACAGCTCTGGCAGTGAAAGGGATAAAGTACAAGCCCTGTCCCACCCTTTCCTGATGAGCAGCCAATCATTGTTCATTAAACTGCAAGGTCTCTCCCCTCCCTGTTAGTCCCCGAGTGCGGTGCAGGAGATGGGCAGGGAGGAGAAGAGGAGATGAACAGATAAACAACGCAATGGTAAAAATATCACACGTTTAAATCGCCATAAAGCCTCTTTTGTTTTTAAAAGCCCCAAACATTCCTAAAATCACCTCCGATTTAAGTACGGTTTTGCTTAAATTTTTTTTTTTTCTATCAGAACAAGTAGATTGGGGCCCCGATTTAGTCCCTGGACAAGTAGTTTTTTCAAAAATGTCCACACCCCTGGTAGGTATTATACTTACAAACCAACATCAGTACAAGCTTGTCAACAAAATCTTTCAGCTTCTGATCTCCGGTACATCACATGGGGACAATGTAGGTCCAGAAGGCTAACGCGTTTCGAAGGACTTGGCCTCTTCCCCAGAGCCAAGGGACCTATACTTTTTGGAAGGCACTTAAATACTCATATAGTATAACCATTGTAAAACAGAAGCCCCTCACTCTTCCATTTGGGAGGAGACTAACATATTTGATCCTTTAGAGGGAAACTACATATGTGATGCAATAACTCTTGGTGTCAATGCCAAAAATATATCATTGTGTTATATTCTATACAGTCCATGTAACCCTCAAAGAATGCCCAGGGGAGACCATTTTTTAGTAAAGAATGACACATTTGATACTTATACATGAACATAAAAAGTTGTTCAGCTTTTTGCATTGTGGGGCAGATGCTCATCACTCTATCAAGACAAGACCTAAATGGCCTCTTTGACATTAACAGTACAACAAATTTTGGCCATCATGGTCTGGAATGCATGTCAGAGCTGCCAAACCAGAATCGTGGCCTGGCTCTGTGTTCCACCTATGCCAACCAGTCAGGCAACTGCTTCACTTCTGGTTCCGCGGTTGACTGATATCTGGATATTTTTAACTGGTGCATCTCAAGCTGCAGGGAATGCTGGAATCATACGGCTGTGTCACTTCTGGTTCCACGGTTGCTCAATTACTGTTTTTTGCTCTGTGCTCATTGGCTTATTAAGTACATCACCT